AGAAATTGGACACAAGTTTGGACGATGCAGATATAAGACAGCAAGAGTCCCATGAATGCATAAATGGAAGCCAAATAAAATATTGTCAGGACAAATAGTTCAGCAATTCTTAACTACCCAATAGGTAATTTACTTATTCAATATTTCTTTCTTATCCTATATTATACACTCAATTATAACTTCTAAATAAACATTCAACATAAATCATTTAACTATTTATTACAATTACAATTACAGATCCAAGTTCATCCATTGTTGCAACCTACAGAACAAGAATCACAGACACCATGATACACAGGTCTTTCATTACCCCAAGATAACCCCCACAGAATACTAGATCGTATTGTAAACGGAGAGGTAAACAACATAGTACAACAAATTTCAGAGAATGAAGATGACACTGATAATATACCTGTTAGTCCTGATCTTGTAACAGCGCATACTTTAGTTGGTGCTAACCCAAGTTCCACTTCCATTCCTACTAATTATGTAACTAGAGACGAAATGGAACAGATGATGAATACATATAGACAAAATATAGTGTCAGATATATGTGCCAATTTAAGAGCGAATATTGTTGAAGAATCAAGAAAACAAGAAAGTCGCTATGAGGCAATTCTCCAAAATCAAAACCAGTTTTTTGAACAATATCAAAAATGCCAACAAGACCACTACCAACAGACACAATCTACCATGGAAAATATTCCACGTTTTTGTGATACTTTGTTCACTACCCACATTTCTCAACAAGGGTGCACACAAGACACTCAGTACCAAGTACTTCTTGACCACCAAAAACAATTCTTCGAACAACAACAACAACAATGGCAAGATGAACATTATCAAAACATGCAACATCATATTGATGTGAGCTTCACTTAAGTAAAATCTTATGTTACGGAAGAGCATAACAATATACTGAATAAACTATCTCAGTGGGATTCAAACATAGCTTCCTTCCATCAAGATAATCCTCTCCAAAATAGTCTAGAACAGACTATAGAACCACAACATGCCTCAACATCTCAGCAACTTTATCCAGTTGAGAATTTGACAGAGGAAAATACAAAAAAAGGCAAGGGAAAAAAATACAATATTTTCGTCGTCCTTTAGAAGATTATCTCAAAAAAGACTACAGAACGGTCACAAATTGGATACTACGCCATCCAGCCAAGTAAGAAATTGACTTTTATTATATAAACTTCAATATTATAATTTATACTTACATTATTTCACACTAATTTAAATTACATTATTCAAGGCATGTTGGGAAATTGGAAATGATAATTTTTACACAAGAGACACATTGAAGAATTTACTGGATCCAACAACAGATATCAATGTTGCGGTTAGCTACAAATTTAATACAATTTTCTTCTATATTCAATACATCTAACTTACATTTGCTTATTTTATCAGATTGTTGATGTGGAATTAAAATTACTCAGACAATTGATCAACGATGGTTGCACCTTTGTTTCTAAAGAATATGCGATCATGGACTTTACATTTGCAACAGAATGTGTTCGTCATCACATATGGACAATAAATCCACAACAAAATGATCCTTCAATCATGGCTCGTTTCAACGAGTATGTAAATGGCAACCTACCAATCAATGGTCGTCGATGGATAGAGTGCAACTATTTATTAATTCCATTTTCACAAGACAATAAATCCACAACAAAATGAAACTTCAATCATGGCTCGTTTCAACGAGTATGTAAATGGAAACCTACCAATCAATGGTCGTCGATGGATAGAGCGCAACTATTTATTAATTCCATTTTCACATTCAGTCAACACTTGGTATCTTTATTACATTAATTTGCATGAATGGAAATTCCAAATCTATGATTGTAGCAACGATGAACATACAGAACAACAAATCAGAGCAGATGTGCACATAGTATACACTTATGTTGATAAATTATTATCATATTTAACATTTTTGTTCGATAGACAAGATTTGAGCAGACATACAAATAGGAAACTGCAACTGGACATCATACTTTATTTATCTTGTGCAAACAACGGGTAAACATTTAAATACTATTTACGTATCTCTATTTCATTTCATTTCATATCTATAATACTATCTTTATCTAACAAAACCCATTTTTTTACAGGCCAAACTGCATATTATTCATACTCAAATTTATAGAATGTTTCATTTTGGACTTCCCAATAGAAACGGTTGACTCAAAGAGGATGAATATATACAGACGGAAACTTGCAACTGATATTTGTATGAATAAATATTTCTTGCACCCCCGATGATCATAATATATTGTATCATTCAAAACAAGGTACTCATAAATATTTTCTTTTAATTATGTATACTATTTCTATCTTTTAGTTCATATAAACCTTGTTCTTTCAATTTCTGTTTACATATAACAATTCCTTCCCTGTACATTTGTTCAATTAATTAGCATTTCCTAGAATTTTAGTAACTTCTTCAACCTAAAATTTTGGCTTAAATATTAATTGCTGTTCAAAACAGAAACCATCTAGCTAAAATTAACTTCTAATGCAAAAACAAGAGAAGGCATATTCTACGGCTGTACCTATCAATAAAATAAATTGGGTTTTTTTTTTCGCACTTTTAACAACTATTGATACACGGGAAGAGCAAAGTGGAGCTTCTGCAAAGGTAGTGGAGAGATGGGGTAATCCAGATTCTTCCAAAAGAATGCTTGTTTCTTTTACAGAATTGGGCTGTTTCGTTTTGTTCTTTGCTGCTGTTAATGACCTTGTTGGGTTTTTATCTCATGACTACTTGGAAATGTGGGGTAACCGAACCGGAAATAATCAATAGCTTATGTTGTTTTAGTACCTTGATATGGTTTCATTAGAGGTCTCTGTAGGACTTCCTCTGTTTCTCTTGAAATCCTTATGATTTTGTGTTTTACCATGTTGTGGCTGTTTTCACATCCTTTAGGTTCTCTTTTTGATTGTTCGATTTCATTTCCATTTTATGGAGTTGGGTGGGACCTGTTCTATTATGTTCTTAATTCAATTCCAAGTGTGGCAGCATGTTTGTCATAAACGCAACTGAACTGAACTGAACTTGTAGCACCCCGCAAATTTTAGAATAAATTTTTGCATTCAATTTTATGATTTTGAAAGTTGAGTGATTAAAAATAAAATATTAAATTCTTATGTTTTGGGTCAAATATTTGGTTTTTGATAGAGTGACGAAAAGTATATCAATATGGGTCTCGTTGGATAACTCATTTTTAATCATGAAAATATGCTCGAGAAAATATTAATTCGGATAAGTAGGTCTCAAGATATTAAAGTTTAAAATAATTTGTAATTTATTTATATTTTTAAAATAAAATTGAAATTGAATGAGAATTCTCACGTGAATGGATGTGAAAATGATATTTTATTAGAATTTATATTTAAAGTCAAAGTTGTCATTATCACCTTTTGAGATTGAAATCTTTTCTTTTTT